AAAGAAAGAAAGAAAAGAAAAGAAAAAATATTTCTCCTGGAAAATTTAAATTGGCGCATGGGATTCACGTCCTATTTTTGTTGGACAGTCTCACTTCACAGGTGCCTCCCTGGCTGCCAGACCCTGATTGACGTCTGGAGTCCCCTGTGGAACTCTCCTAGTGGGCAGCTCTCGGGGCCACTAGGAGAGAACAATGGAAAGGAAGTTCTCTTTCCAGTTCTGCTCGTAGCTAAACCACCTGCTAAGAGCTTCCATGGATTATCTCTCCTGAATGTCCGGTTTCTGTAGGGTGGCCGTGACAGCCCCATTCTGCAGATGGAGGAGTCAGGCCCAGGGGTGGTGGGGAAGTGGCCCAAGAACACAGAGCAGGGAACAGCAAACCAGAAGTCAGCATTGCCCGCTCCCCACACCTCCAGAGCCACAGATGGAGGTCACCTTCTCAGTGAGGGGGCAGGAGTCCAGATGGGGAGAAGCAGATGCCATTTGTTGAGAATTTACAGTATGTCACGCCCAGTGACCGGCCCATTGTTTATACTCTGTTTATCCAGACACCTGTGGGGTGAAGAGTGTGTTGTTATGATCAGTTGAAAGCCTGGCGCAGCTTGGCAGAGGGCAAATTTGGGGCACTTGGTGGGTTGTTTGTCCTCCAGGACTCTCTGGGTTGCAAGTAACAGCATCTCCAGGTTTGGGGCAGGTGTCACTGAAAGTTCTGGGGATAGCTCTGGGGAGCTTCAGGTCTAGCTGGATCCAAGTGCCCCGTCTTCCCGTCTCTCATTTCTGTCCCTTTCTGGGCTGTCTGTCTGGGGACGCTCACCAGCAGCTCTACGCTTGCTTCCTGTCCAGCCGCGGCAAGGAGATAGCTGCTGCTTTCTGCCTTTTCAATGACCAGAAATAAAACCTTGAACCTGTCTGAGCTGGTGGCCTGGGTCTGACCTCAGCAGGCCCACCGAGGAGTGCCAGGAAGGGCTGGTCCAGCCTCGTCCTGCGGATCCTCCTGGAGGACTGTTCTCTCAGCCCAGTGCTGCCCACAAAGGCTGGCACTGGGCGACATGATCCCGGGAGACCCTGGCTGCCTCCTCCAGGGGCAGTGGACGCAGGAAGGTGTCCTCCAAGGGCATCTGTGCCTTGGGCTTGGCGAGGTGAGAGGTCTATTCCTAGACACTTTGGGCTCCCCAGGGCCTGTTCTGAAGCCCTTGCTGTCCCCTCCTCAGGCAC